CCGCCGCCCGGGCCGCATCCTCGCCGGGGGCCAGTGCGAAGAGGCCACGGCCGAGGCCGGCGCTGGGAGGAGAGCGAGGGAAAGGAAAAACCAGACGCCGAGGGCGAACTCTCCTTCTGCCAGCTGTGCGTCTTCCATCAAGTTACTCGGCCTCTCTGAGTTTAAGACAAGCAGTGGAGTCTGGGAACTTAGCTTCCCTCTGGAGTCAGGGAAGGCGTGGGAAACAGGACTTAGATCGTGAGAAACAGGAGACCACCTTCTGGGTTGTATCCAGGCTTTGCAGCCTCCCAGCTGAGCAACCTTGGGCAGGTTACCTAACATCTCTGGGACTTTTTAGTTCCTTCATCTGTAAAATGGAGGAAACAAGTTATTAAGAGAGGAGTAAACAAGATATTTCATAGTAAAGCACTTGGAATAATGCAGGCACGTAGTAAACTTCAGGGAAAGTCATGCCATCCTTATCGCGGTTATTTATTATTATTTTTTCTTAATAAAATGCCAATGCTGTGGACAGAGACAAAACCAATTTTATGGGGTCTGAAGCTTAAACTTTTGTTTGTTTGTTTTTTTGGGGGGGGGCTTCCTTAAAGGAAAAGAATACAAAATTAAAAATGCAAAAGTAGGTACAGAAGTGAAAAATGTATTTTCAAAATGAGAAAAGGATTCATAACAAGTCACAAACTTCAAAAAGTTGGCAAATCAAAAATCATTAAAAATTCAGAAAAATATTATAATCATTTTTGTTAATTAACTGCCTGACATACCCGTACAATATTTTTTCTGCTTTTTTTGGCTGCATACCCTTTGATTGATTCCTCATAATGAGTTTGCAATGTTTTTTATAGAGAGAACAGAAGGATAATTCAGTTTTCTTCTAACATAGTTGATCAGAATTTATCTTTTTATTTTTGATAGTCTTTAAAAGTGTCTTTCAACTTTGAAACTGCTATTGGTAATACCACATACACTTTTAGGATTGTTGTCATTTTTGAAAAACAAAAAGATCGATACACTTTAAAAAAAATAATTAAGCTGTAAGATTTCCCATTTTCTTATGTTGTAACTAATTGTAAATACTTCTTATAAAGGACGCCAGTCATTATTACCCAGTTTGTCCTCATTGTTGAGACCTATTATGAGTTTTATATTATTATCATCAAATCACCAAGAAATTTAAAACTTTTCCCAATGTAAGTATATGTAAGTATATTACTTTTCTTCATTAATTGAATTATTAAACAATCCCAGAGCCTGTTAGAGATCTATTTTTTCTTCTTAATGCATTATCTCTTAGAGGATAATCTGAGTTTTGTGTTACAGTTCCCTTTTTAATGTCAGAATAATTTATATTCAATAATTTCATATACAGATACAAGGGAAACATTTTTGTATGGTGTATTTATAATTCATGCACTACATCATTTAGGCATATTCCTGACAGGAAAGAACTTTCATTTTTGACAAAGCACTCATGAGCACTAAACCCACCACTTGCAATATTACATGTCAGGTGGGTAGAAGAATTTTCCATGGACTAGCTTCTGGCTCCATACATTTCAAACACTTTATCCACCCTAAATATACTCCCAACTCAGTTTCCACTTAGCCAGACCCCCAGAAGGCCCATGGCTGCTCTGTCACCTGACATGAGGGGAGGTGGGATGGAGGGGAAGTTATAATGAAAAGAAACAACAATCAATTGCAATTACCATGTTTTACCCTTGCATTTTTTATGCAGAACCACATGAATGCCCTGGCTGGGTGCCACCCAGGGCCTTAGAAGGGCCTTGAGCAAGTAAGCATTAACTTCATGGTAAGTCTGCCCCTAGTTGTAGATTCTTGGGCTAGATATAATTTTATGGGCTCTAAAAGGCTTCTCTATAGTACCCCCAAAATGCCTCCTTATTGAGTATCAAAATGTCTATA